GCCGCACGCATGCCAGGCGAGTGTGCTACCGCTTGAGCCACATCCCCAGCCCCACCATAGACTCTTCTACATCATGGAATACGCAAGAATAGCTCACCAGTAAGAAAAGTCAATAAACTTTAGCTAAAATAGCAATAGAAATAAAAAAAAAAATAAAGATTTTCCTAACTGGAAAACTTTCCTGCTTAGATCTTTATAGGAATCCTGTAAGCAAGTTGCTTTGGAGGACTCCCGTTTTTCTCTAGGAATAGTTTGCTTTTCTTTTCTTGAGGATCCCCCAATACCTTACCTTGAATGTACTTTTATATTAGACACTCAAAATTCACAGTTTTCCCCTCAAAACCATTTATGTTTGTTAAATGTCATGGTTTGTGTGAATCTGGAGTTTATCACCCTTTTAGAGTAACCCCAGGCCCAGAACATTTTAGCAGGAAGATACTGTTTCCTGGCAATGCTATGGGTGTGTGTGTGTGTGTGTGTGTGTGTGTGTGTGTGTGTGTGTGTGTGAAATATCTCGAATACTGCATACTTTACCAGTTATGTCATGCTGTTTGAATGACTCACTGTAGATCTGATACTGATTCGGACAATGTTTCTTCAACCACTTGCAGACATCCTGCTGGGTCCATAGAGCCACTGGTTTTGACAGCTTCACAGTAGATGACTATAAATAGAGAGAGAGACAAAAAAAAAGAAGGTCTGTTAATGCCAGCCCCATGCCTAGGAAAGCACTATTGTTGAAAGTCCTAGAGTGGGGATTCCCTGATGATGATTATCTGGCTCTCGTCTTCCTTGTGACCTCTACAGACTTTCTCTGTGTTGTTAAAAAACAAAGAAAAGGTCCAGGAAGAGGGGGCCATGAAAATCATACTTATTCTTGAGTTATCATCTCCACTGGGAGAAAACCTTAGGAAGTAGAGTTTTCTACTAAAAACTCTAACAACAAGATCATGGGGTTACTAAGCAAGTAATTAAATTTTAGGGGTAAAATAGCAGCCCCCAAGGACCTTTCTCTCTACTGGGAAATGCATTCATCTCTTATCTCTGACATCCCTAGGGCCTAATGCAACACTTGTCCCTGCAAATGCGAATAATTATTTTAGGATCGAATGCTATGGGATTTAGATACTTGCATACTAAAAAAGCACAAGATGGCTTTCAGGATCTGGACTTAGGGTGACCCTAGAAAGCCTAGGAACATTAGTTATGCCACAGTGGGGAAGCCAACAGTCAATTCTGCCAGCATGTGGAGAATGGTAATAAGATAATGGAGTAGTTAGGCTTTATACAGAAGCCAGCTAGTCAAGGCCTTTTATTGCTCTCTGGTTCTTTGAGGGAAGTGTTTCTAAGGGAAAAATATCAAAACACACAGAGGTGTAAAGGTCCCAGCCTTTGAGAAATGGTGGATTTCAAATACATTTATTAATAAGCATTGACTCTGTCAGGGGCTGGTCTCCCCCATGGATCCCAGGAGTTTGGTTTAGGTGAGATGAAAGCATCAGCATCAATATTTTTTATCATTCTGGGAAAAGTGTTTGCCAAAAAAGTAGGTCTACAATATTGAGAGTTCTTTAAAGGGTCTTGAGTGGTACAAAGATCCGCCCTCAAATATCACTGCCCTTCTCACTAGGCATCATTTTCTTCTACTTCTCTTTCCATGTTTCAGATTAAGGCAAGGAAAAAGCCTTAATTTGGAAGGAGTGTGATTTAGCATCCTTCAAACACTTCCTAACATTTTTTTTTTTCCCCAACAAAGAGCAGGTTTGCTTCAGTTTTCAGAACCTGTAAGAAAAAGCAGCAAATCTAGCAACATCTACTTACTCTTCTTTATTCTTTGATTATGTTTGAGGCAAACTTCACTTTATGGAAAATAAAATACGGGATAAAATATAATTCATTTTCTTCAGTAATATCAAGTTTACTTTTAAAACAGATTTGAGCTAAAAAAAAATTCACTGCCCCAATTTTAGGAAAAAAATTTAAGGAAAAGTGGTACAGATGGTGAGGAGAAAATAGTAAACATAGTGGGAGGAATATGTAGTGATTCTCGTTTGGAAAGCATAGGGCTCAGGTATTATTTTTTTTTTAATCAATGTATTTTCAATTGAATGGTTCTTTGAGCCATCACAAAATAATTCCAAAAAATACTTAACCAAATTTTTTTTTGTACTATGATATTTGTTTCCCCTTTCACTCTTATTAAGTGTGACAGATTCTATTTTTCAAATATGACCATACATATGCAGGAGGGTGAGGCTATATATATCATTCTATGATTTCATATGTAAATCAGACATAAATGTGTGTATATATACATATATATACACATATGTGTGCACGTGTGTATATATGTGCACACATATGCATATGTTCTCATTCAATGTGACTGAGCATACTTATTTGCACTGGTATTGGATTGATGTTTCTACCAGTTGAATTTCAGCAGGGTATGTTTCTGCCAGTTGAATTTCAGCAGGGTATGTGACCAAGGTGGTACAGTGGAATTGATGTTATGTGATGTCTGCTCGTAGCACTCACCCTTAGAACATAGCCACCATGGTATGTGGAAGCACAAGCCACATGAAGAGACCATGCACAAGAATGTTTGCCAATCCTCCAGCTAAGGTTTCAGCTGACAGCCACCACCAACCACTTGACAAATGAGTAAATGAGCTTCATATGATTCTAGTCTCAGCCTCAGAATCTTCTCATTGAGGAACCCAGACACCATTATGCAAATACAAGACTTCTTTGCTGTATCAAGTGAATTCCAGACTCATATAATGGGTGAGCATCAAAAATAATTGTTGCACACTACCAAGTTTTAGGCTAATTTGGTTTGCAACACTAGTAACTAGTGAGGAGAGCAGCTGCTATAACTTTGTGTTCCTTAGAGTGCATTGCATTTAATAGATGCTCTGTGAGGGCACAATGAAAAAGTGAATGAGTAAAAATAAACGATTTTCACTTTATCTGTGTTCCCAGGTACATGTGACTGTTCCGTCTGCAGTGAGTTTCAGGTCCAGCCCTCCCTGCTCTTCCCCACAGTGTGTTGTGCTTGCATAGCTCCTAATCAGCACGGCTGCCTCTGCCTACCACCCTTCTTCAGTCCCTGGTCTCGGCCACCACTTTCCTTCTAAGCTCTGTGTGAAACCATATTGACTGTTTCCTAATTTTGATGAGAAAGGAGAACCTTGGGCATGTGGGTACAAATAAGCACTTGTTTTTTTTTTTGTTGTTGTTGTTGCTACTGATGTTGATATTCAGTCTTTTTTGGCCATCATTACTTTCTTTCCTTTGCAAGATTCGGAAACCAGAATTTAAGATCTTTCAGGTGGAAATGCAGTTACCAACATGTTTCACAAGTCAGCATCTCTGAATCTGGCTCTCTCCTGCTCTAAAAACTTTCCTTCAGATTAACTCAATGAGTTTAGAGCTGACACATCATTACCCTGAAACTCTTGCAAGTTTCTTGCAAGTACAGCTAATCACATTTTTTGAAGACTCCCATAAACCAGTCAGAGAAGGCTGTAAATTAGGAAGGAAGAGGCAGGGGGATGGAGTTGCTTATACATCAATATATTAAACTTCCTTCTTCCTGAAAGGTCATTCTTTAACTGGCTCATTTCCCACGCAACAGACGACTCCGCACCACAACTAACCCATTCTGCTAGGCTTCAGCTAAAGATTTACCCAAAGTTGCCAAGTCAACTCAGAACAATCCTCACCCTATATGCATTTGTTATAAATTTTCCTTTGTCATAAATTCAGTAGCTCTGAGGCTAACAGTCAAGGAACTGGTTCACTTTTCCTTCAGAATATATTCTCGCTAAGTAATAATTTAGAATCAGTTGCTTGGACAGGAGTAAATACAAAGCTTAAGACTTTACAAACCCAGAGGGAAATGTCTCCATATAAACTGGTATAACAAATGAAACAGAGAATAAAGATTCCTACTGTTAACAAGGGTTGTTTATCTCCTCTTAACCAAAGGGCAATAAAAATATCAACCCTATTTATCAACTGATTCTTAGCTTTGGTTGAATTATAAAATTGTTAATAGTTCACCACACGTTAACTTGTTAAGCCATTATGACAATGTTTCTGGGTTCTCAGAGATAGTCTTCATTTTTTTTTTTTTAATTTATGTCTGAGCCTCTCTTCTTGTAGCACCTGGGTGAACCTCATACCTTCTTCCATTGTCAGTCTCCTCCCCAACAGCAGTCAAGTTTGGGGAGTAAATGCTGTAATCTGACGCCTTTAAGGATCTCAACATTTATTTCTGTGTGCAAAGTGGAACAACAATGAAAGACACATGTTAAAGTACCCTCTGTGGCATTTAACAGACTGCCCCATGGAAGGTGGGGACAGAAGGCTGGAAGGTACCATATCCTTCCACTATTCTCTCATCCTTTTCCTCCCAATATTAACCCCTCCCTTTACATCCATCACTAGCTGATCGTTTTCTCTGATTTGCTGCCAGGTCTTTTTTTTTTTTTTTTTTTTTTTTAATTTCCTCACAGGAACCTCAACCAAAATAAGAATAGTTCATAAAACAAAGAGATAAAGCATTTCACATTTACAAGGAACAGTAAGCTGATAAGAAAAAAAAAATCCTGCCCAAGGCAAACATTAAGAAAACATTTACTCCAGTTTTCTTTCTCCATGTTCACTTCTAGAACATCATTCTTAGATTTACAACTCTGGAGACAATTTTGGTTTGTTTTGCTACCCTGACAGAGGGTGGAGGCAGTTTATTATGGTAACCTATATGCATTATGACACCAAGCAGAATTCCAGGCACTTCCTTTCGGAATTGGTCCTGGCCTTTCTACAGACAAAAGGGAAAATGCATTTCAGATGCCTTTAATTTCCATTTTACGAGACTTTATTAAAAAAAAATACACATTTCTAAGGAAAAGGTTGTTTGCTAAATTGTTTTTGTTTTTTTGTAAATGATTATTATTTTAATTTGCCTTCATACAATAACTTCAACTGTGTTTTATAATAATTTCTGATTTGTGTTTAACTGGAAAGAACTCTTAAGCATTTAAGTTTTCCAAGATAAACACGAAGCTTTTCTGCTAAATAATAAAAGAGTTAAATGCTTTAAAGAAATTTGGTATGGAAAGGACATATTACAATATGCATTTGAAGTTAAATTTTATTTTCTAATTAAATTATCCCTTATCTTTTTGCCATATAAATTCTCTTTTAATTTACTTGGCTTTGGTTTATAAGAGAACACTGCAATTTTAACTTCCCAATTGCTGAATAAGCTCTTAACCAGGCGAACTTACATGAGACCCCATCCATAGATTGTGAAAAAGTAGAGAACATTCAGATGGATTCTATCCAATGGTAGAACAAGGGAGCGTTATGGCTAAGCACCAGAAAGTGGCAAATGAGGGAGGGAGAGAATGAAGAAAGAGAAAGGAGGAGAGGGAATAAGAGGGGAAAGGGAAACATAGAATCAACCATTGATGTCTACTTTAGCAGTTTTTAATGTTCATTTACCTGAAGAAAGGTAGAAAGGTCCTCTATGAGCAAGAGGAAATGCTCAGCATTTGATCTAATTAATTTTAAATACTAGTAATGCCCTCTTCTGTCACTCTGATTCTTTCCTGGAAGGAGGTGGCTAGAAAACTTTTAAAAATTTATCTT